AATGGACAGTCCTAAATCTCTCTCTCTCTCTCTCTCTTTTTTTTTTTTTAAAGAAAAAGATTTATTGCTGTAAAATATATGTAACATATTTCCCCAAGTTAACATTTTTTTAACATGTACATTTTTTTACAGTAACATCAGTTACATTAATCATATGAAACTATCACCAATATTCAATAGTCATTGCCAAACTCACAGCAAAAGACACTCACTGCTTCATGACTAATTGTGACATCAGTTACATTAATCATATGAAACTATCACCAATATTCAATAGTCATTGCCAAACTCACAGCAAAAGACACTCACTGCTTCCTCAACAATAACTCCTTCTTTTCTCTTCCCTCTGGGAATCCCTAAGAACATTATTCTCCATATATCTGCCTCTTGTAGATGTTTCATATAAATGACATTACATATACTCTGGGCTTGCATGCATTCTTTTTTTATTTAAGGTTTTTATTGTGGATTGAGTGAAAATTTACAAGGCATATCATCAGTTTTACATTCAACAAATCATACACCTTGTTTCATTACAATGATTATAATCCCCTCCATGTACCATCAGTTAACAGTATTTCTCTCTATCCACTTTAGCTTGTTTAAAAACAAACAAAAAACCCACTCAGGCATATATATGTGCTCCAAAGGGCACATTCTGCAAGTCTGCCTCCTGGCCACCAGCTCTTAGTCCCTCTCTTAGTCCATGAATCTAGAGTGTTCAGCCACTCCCCCTCTCCATGCCCCCATCTCTGCCTCCATCTCTGGCGCAGTTGCCTCTCTGGATAAGGTCCTGCATTCTGCTTGTGTGCTTCTCTCCTGATGGTCCTAGGGTCCTCTGTTTCTGGACTGTAAGATTAACCCCTCCCCTTTTTTTGTTACCAAACTTCTACCTTTACAATTGTGACAGTCACAATTAGTCATGATAACAATTATTCACCATTGAATCTTATCCCCATCTCTTTTCACCAGACCCATCTAGAAAAGATGACAGCTATTCTGTGGGGACTCTTTCTTTACCCCATACTCTTAAACTAAACTCCATCTTGAAACTTTGTAAGCCGGTCACTTCGTGCTTTTATTACCTCCTCATTTTAGGTAGCCAAAGTCTACATTGCCCTTCCCTATCTGCCCTGTGTACAGAGGGGATAGTATTGATACTTGATGTGACGACTCCTTCCCTCTGTTGGTATTTAGAGTTACTACCTCCATGAGCATAGGTCAGGTTAATCAAATTGAAGCAATTTACCCTTGTTTCCTTTATCAAAAAAAATTTTTTTCCAATCTTTCTCGAGTTGAGTTCTGATTATCGAGTCATCAGGGCTAGGTCAAAAGGGTACTGTCTGCAAGTTTGGGTGTTCTTGTGCATCTCCCCTCACTTCTTATCAGCTGGATGCTTCACTCTCAGCTCTAGCCCTCTGTGGCTAAGTCCTTGTCCATGGGCTCAAGTGTCCTTAGGTCTCACCAAACTTTGGACCAACTAGCCCTTCCTCTTCTCTCTCTCATCTCCAGGTCAATGGGATTCAATGGACGGGGGTTGAACTCAGCCCATTTATTCATTGATGCCTTTCCGCCTCTTCCATTCACCAGTAGACCAATGTGGTTGCCAGCAAGCTTACATGCTTGTTTGTGTATTCCCTTTGAGTTTCAGTTTTAGAGGGAAGATTGTCTTGAAGGCACTTGATTGCTAGCCTTGATGTCTTCCTGGTGAACAGCTTGGTTATTCTTGTAGTAGTCAGTCATGCTGATATTTTCATTTTGGGGTTTTCCTGATGATCGTTCTTTGAAGATGTATCTTCTGTCACTGTAGCTGTTCCAATCTGCTTGTCCTTTCTAGTAGGAATGTCCCACCTCATAAAGTTCTGGATGGGACTCAGGATTCCACCTAAGGTCTTATACTCTGTAAAGGCTTTGCATGAGGCCTGTTTCACTGGGCAAGTTGTAGAACCCCTTTTAGGTATTCCAATCAGTTATAGGATGAAGACGGGCTTACAAGTTTTCCCTAATCATGTTTCCCAACATTTTTTTTTTTTCTTTCTATCCCACTCAAGTGTCTATTTTACAGCAGTAGGCAAGGAAAACTAATATTCATAAGGTAGTCAAGGATTTAGTATTATTTACCCTCTTCAAGCTATACCTAAATCCCTGTATCCCAGAGCCCTGTTGTTCCAAGGTAGAGTATGCATCACTATATACCTCTGTCCCTCTTAGGCCATGCAAACCTATCTCAGTGTTCCCCTACCTATCTTGTTCTTCTGCTACTTCCCCCCTTCTTGAATTGCCCCCCCCCAACACCCAAACTACCCCCACCCCAACCAGATTTGTGGTTACCTTATATTCCATTAGTTGTACCCTCCATTTAAGACAGTCTATTTTATCCTATAATCTACCTGAACTTCCCATCACCTGGATCTCTATTCTTCTGTGTTTACCTTCTTTCACATTGTAATGTTTTGATCATAGACTGACCGCCCAGATCCTCTGTTCTTATAATTTTATTCTGTTCTTGACTCTTCCATTTGTCGATTGAGTTCATGGTGCTGCTGCCATGTACGTCATTCTGTAGTTGTTGTCTGTTTTTGTTGGTTCTCAGTCCACAGAACTTCCTTTAGGATGTTTTTCATAGCAGGGTTGGCTTTGGCAAAATCCCTTAGCTTCTGTTTATCCTGGAATGTTTTGATTACACCATCATATTTGATTGACAGCTTTGCTGGGTAGAGGATTCTTGGGTAGCAGTTTATTTCTTTCAGGAGGGTTTTATATCACTCTCCCCCCATTGCCTTCTTTCCTGCATGATTTCTGTTGAGAAATTCAAGCTTACTCTGATTTGCTTGCCGTTGTATGTTACTTTTCGCTTTGCCCTAACTGCTTTCAAGTTCCTGTACTTATCTTTGATTTTGGAGAGCTTGATAATGTCTTGGTGATTGTCTTTTAGGGTCTATCTATCCTGGGGTTCATTGAGTTTGAATGCTTATCTTTTCAGTTTTTAGGATGTTAAGAAAATTTCCTTCTAGAAGCTTTTCAACTATCTCCTCTGTGGACTTGTGTGATTATTCCTGTTCCGGAATGCCAATAATTATGAAGTTATTCATCTTCATGTTGTCCAACATGAATCTTAGGCCGTCTTCAGATGTTTTTTATCCTTTTTTTGTGTTTGCTCTTCTATCTTAGTAGTATTGAGAGATTTATCTTCTAGCTCACTAGTTCTGGCTTCCATTTCTTCAGTTCTACTTCTTTGCCCTTTCAATGTATTGTCCATTTCTGATATTCTATTATTAATAATTTGGACCTGTTTCTGTAGGTTTTGAATTTTCCAATGCTGTATCTATCTTATTTGATTGTTCCTGTAGTGCTTTCCTGACTTCTTCCTTATTTTTCTCAACTCCATTATGTAGTGTTTTGATACATTTTATAATCATTTTTCTGAATTCCTTCTCAGGAATTTCCAAAGCCTGCCTATCTTCCAGTATGGACTGTAGGTCTACTTCCAGCTCATTTGCTTCAGTCACTTTATCTCGTTTCTGGACATGTGCAGATATGGTCATATGCTTCTGTTTTTTGGGCATATTCAGGGGTTGTCTGTGGCCTTAATATTTAGATGAGTGTGTTTTTTGGTATTTTTTGTGTTTTCTGATTGCCTCCAAGTAGATGTGATCAGGAAATGGGCTTCCCTTTTCACTCTTCTTCTTGAGAAATTTCAAGATGTCACTGTTGGTCGTTTTGACGTAACTTAGGATTTAATTTTTAGCCTATTTCCTTTTTTGTCTGCCTGTCCCGCTCAACAATCCCCATTCAGGACTTTTTTCTAGTTGTAAACAGTTCAGGGCCAACTGTGACTGTTTGGTTTTAAGTGGAAACTGTCTCTTTAAATTTCAAGGAGATCTGTGTGCATGCATAGTAGAAGCCTCCAAGGGTGGGACTGGGGTGTCCAATAGCTCAGGCACCCCTACAGTCACCAGAATGGTGGATTGCAGACAGCAAGAGACCAATGAACAGATATCAAAAGAAAAGAATGTCCACACCTTTTATCTCCGCAGTTCTTTCAGGTGTCCGTAGCTACTCTGATCCTTCCCCCGCTTGGTCTCAATCAAGATGGTGGCTCCTGGAGCCACTGAGCGTCTTGAATTAGAAAGCAACGGATTTCTTGCTTATGCTGCAAATTCCCCTAGCTGTAAACCTTACAACCTTTTAAATATTCCTTTATATGTGGTTCAGAGTTTTGGGACCATCCCCTGAGCCTGCTTGGTCCTGTATTCTGTGTTGTTGCTGACGGAGCTCCTTATTGCACTTCCACCTAATCTGCCATCTTGTTTGTTCTACCCCCCTAAATTTCTCTTTAATCAATAAAATAATTTAGGATATGATAAAGGAGACATTTCAAATTAGTTAATAGATGATGAGTTATTCAATAAATGGTGCTGGGACAATTAAAAAATTAGATGGAACAGCACTTCACGTCTTACAGCAAAACGAAAGACAGAGAATTAATCAATTATTCATATTAAGGATTAAAGAAGAAAACAGGAGTGACTATTTTTATAATCTGGAAGTGAGGAATGCCTTTTACAAGCCTGAGATTCAAACCATACAGGATTCATTTCAATGTGTACAGAATGATACAAAAAATAAAGTCTAAAGTTAAACTTGGAAAATTACCTGACAGGCTTAGCAAACCCTTTTGTAAAGTTTATTTTTTTATACAGACTTTGGGATATCTACTTAGAATGCTCAGGAACCCTTTCCACTTTAGTTTTTCAATTTCTGGTTGTATTCAAGGCTAGTCATATGAATCATTGGCCTTCATGAGTAAAGTATTGATGTAGTCAATCTATTTTGTTGAGTGTGATGTTATATACTTTAAGTTTATAGACGGCTAAATCTAACTCAACACTGCCAAGGGCAACTTTATAAGTGAATAAATGCTCAATGAAAACTTCCCAGTAGTTATGTTAAGAATTTGTTACTAAATGATAAGCTGAAAGTCTTCTCTGTTTTGACAGGAATTGGCTGCTTGTGAAAACATGCTAGATGCAGTAAAGTTAACAGTACCAGGTAAGATGTTCTGTGCTATTTCTAGAGCTAGAAAAAGAAACATGGCACAATATATGCACACAGTACTACTTTTACTTTGACATGGAAGCTGTTGTCCTTGGTACACAAAGATAATGACATTAATGATATGCATATAGAGCCTTGATGTAGCATAGTAGGGTAAGTACTGGACTGAATGCCAGTTTGAACCTCAAAGGTTGGTGGTTCAAACTCACCAGCCGCTCCTTGGAAACAAGCTCACTATGAATTGGAACCAACTCGAAGACACTTAACAACAAATATGTATAAAAGGCTGCTAACCAACAGGTGTTTTCAATAACCTCATATGCATGTAAAAGCTGGGCAGTGAATAAGGAAGACTAGAGAAGAATTGATGTCTTTGAGTTATGGTATTAGAGGAGAATATTGTTAAGTGCCATGAGCTGCCAAAAGAACCAATAGGTCCGTTTTGGAAGAAGTGCAGCCACAGTGCTCCTTAGAGGCCAAGATGACCAAACTTCGTCTCTCATACTTTGGACATATTGTCAGGAGGGAGCAGTCGCTGGAGAAGGATATTATGTTTGGTAAGGCAGATGGTAAGAGAAAAAGAGGAAGACCCCCCCAACAAGATGGATTGGCCAAGAGGCAGCATCGATGGACTCCAGCGTGGCAACAATAGTGAGGTTGGTCCAGGATCGGGCAGTGTTTCGTTCTGCTGTGCATAAGGTCGCTATGGGTCGGTACCAACTCGATGGCACCTAACAATAACAACAACCAAAAGGTCAGCACTTGGAACCTATCAGATGTCCAATGGAAGATGAGGCTGTGTATAGGATCACTGATGGTTTGGTTTAAGGAGCTCTAGTGGTACTGTCGTTTAGACACTAGGCTGCTAGCTGCAAGGGCTGCAGTTCAAATCCAGCAGCCTCTTTGCATGCAGTAGAAAGAGGAGTCTCAGAAACACTCAGGAGCAGTTCTACTCCGTCCTAGATAGGTTTGCTGAGCCATAATCGACTTGATGGCAATGGTTATATAAGATATAAAACTTCATAGTTTTATCAATACTTAACTATTTTACATTTCCCTATTTTTTGATGAAATCAATATTTAAGTACTCACCTTAACAATTGTCCTGGTCAGAAACAGAACCCTGAGCTTCATGGACCATGGATCAATCATCTCATATGGCAATCATTGCTTCTACACTTGATAATAACAACAGAATGTTAACTTTTTTGTTGGTCTGTGTGTGGCACTGTAAGATAAGCACTGGACTGATAACCACAAGGACTGCAGTTCAAATCCACCAACCCCTCCTTAGAAACCCTACACAGGGTGCTATGAGTCTGACCAACTTGATGTCACTGATCAACAAAAACAATAGGAAATAGTACGAAATATAAAGTTGAAATAGACATGATGAAAGCAGTACCCAAACTAAAACAGTATTACTTACTATGCTAAGATAAAGTCCCTGCATTATTTCATGGTAGTTGGGAAAATAATCCTCAATGTAATATGTAACATTTAATCTTAAAAACAAACAACAAAATACTTAATATATTCCATCTTCCTGCCTTAGGATCTCAGTATATCTTTGAAATGCAGTTACTTCATACCATCCTCAGTCCTGTTTTTATCTTTAAAAGTCCTTGTGAAAGTATAAAGACAGATGAAATATTTGATAAAATATGCTCTACTCTTATCTATGATTGTAAACTTTTTGAATGTATATAAGTTGATTATTTCAGATTTACTCAGGGATGGTTTGGGGGAAAGTCCCCTTTTCTACTGCCTGATTGCAGAAGTATACAATCAACATAAGCCATCAGGTAAAGTGTATTTTCTTTCTCCAATTTAATCTACAGTGTATTTTCCCCACTCTGCAAACAAAGTACAGTTTGATAGCATGTAATGACTATTAAGCAGGGAGAAGAATATAAACCTAGTTTTTTTTTTAAGTTTTCAGTATGTACTTAATGTTTACATATGCACAGAAAAAATAAAACATATACTACAAATTGTGAAAAAGGCCTACCTCTTGAAGATTGTATTATAAAGAACTACACCTTCTACTTGATATCTGTACTGCTTGAACTTTGTCCAATGACCATTTATTACTTTAATATTTTTTGTTTTAAAAAAAGAAAATGTTTCTATTTTGGGGGAAAACACTTTCTAAGATTCAAAACATTAACTTCTTTTTGTACATTTTCTTCCCTCTTCTTGGAACAGAGACCATTGGATTTGCCATGTACTACTTTACATACGACCCCTGGATTGGCAAGTTACTTTACCTAGAGGACTTTTATGTCATACAAGCTTACAGAGGTCAAAGTATATTTAGTATTACTTATAAATACTTTAAAAATTAAAACAGTATATTTTAATGTTAAGGATTAAAGATAGTGGTATTTAAAGTTAGTTTATGTAACTATTTCATGAGTCTGTTACAATCCTAGTTTTCCTTGCATATAATGAAGAACCAGTCACTGATTACAAAATATTAAAAAAATTATTTCCCATCAGGGTTTGCATAAGCAAATTTCCCAGGAAACACTATACAAGGTTGCTATGAGTCGGTACCAACTCAACAGCATTTAACAACAACAACCATAGCTATACTTTATCTTTAAGAAATGCTTTGACATTTAGGATTGGTTTGACTAAAACTGCATATTAAATGTACCCTATTACAAGATGAAAGTGACAGAAACTCATTTCCTCTTTGCTGCTTTTAAAAATGAACTCAATTTTTTTCCTCTGCCTTTGGAATCATAATTATGAATAAAGAGATATGATAAACATTCAGGAAATCAGTTTCAACACAAGATATTAATGATATGTAATAACTAGATACAGAGTTCTTATGTTTTATTTTAAACTAAAACAAATAACTTGATAAGCAAGTTTTTTTTTTTTTCAACTTACTGTTTTCATTTTGCATTATCTATTTAAAAGATCTAGGTATTGGAGCTGAAATACTGAAGAGGCTAAGTCAGGTATGTCTTATAATCAGTATTGACACTCTATTTCATCATAAAATATTATTATTTAACAATGCATGTATTAGATAATTAATCCTATCATCTGAACATAATCTAGATTATAAATACTTTAACTTTTTATTCAAATTAAACTGGTTTAACTTAATTTCAAACCAGATACTCATATGCTGCTGGTGGTGGTTGTGTGCCATGGAGTTGGTTTTAATTCATAGAGACCCTGTATAGAGTTTCCAAGGCTGTAAATCTTTACAGGAGCCGAAAACCTCATCTTTCTCCCATGGAATCGCTGGGAGTTTCAAACTGCTGTGTGATTAGCAGCCCGACTTGTAACCACTGTGCTACCAGAGCTCCTTAGATACTCATATAGGTTATATTTAAATTAAATTGTTTTCTATATAATTCACAATCACATAATACAGTTTTGTTTTGCTGTAAAGCAGAAAGAAACACATGAGGGAAGAATAGAGGGCAATTACACACTATGAATATGAGAATAATATAAAAGAAAGATCCATATGTGTTTTGGAAATACATATGAGACCATATGTTCTGTTAGGTGAACTTTTTCTGTAGCATTAAGAAAAAATAGTCAATAGAAAAATCAGTGAGTGGACTCTGCGAATCGGTTTTGGACTTAAGGAGAAGGATTTTAAAGTATGCATAAAATTGGGACTTTTTTTGTTTTGTTTGTTACAGCTATAAAACAGTCCAAGAGATAATCACAAGGGCTTTCAAAAATTTCATGGAAAAATCCCATTGTCTTTCAATTCCATTTTTCTATGAACTCCTTGTATTTTGTAGTGTTTTATGCACATACCACCTTGCATATAATAGACTTTCAATGAAATAAATGTGTTAATGAAGATTAGACTTTGAAATAAAAGTAATTTTTGTTTGCTTTTAAACAGATAGCCATCAGAAGTGAATGTAACTTCATGCATTTTCTTGTCATTTGGAACCAGACTTTTATTGACTACTACACTCATCGAGGGGCTTTAGACCTTTCCTCTGAGGAGGGTTGGCATCTGTTCAGATTTAACAGAGAAGAACTTATGGAAATGGCACAGGATGAGTGAAAAAGGACACATAACAACACATCCCAACATAGGCCTCAACATTTGAATGTCATCCAAATCCAACAATTTGACTTTGAATGTTGTACAATACAATAAGTGATCTTAACACTCTTGATGTGAGTGGATCTTTTACTTTGAAATAGATTTTGCAGCTACAATCAACTCCTCATTATCTATACTAATATACTAATGGCTAGTAGCAGTATTGATAATATAAAAGATCAAATAATAAAAAAGATCACTAATACCTGATGGTGGTAGTTGTGTGCCTTGGAGTCTGTTCTGATTCATAATGACCCTTTATAGGGTTTCCGAGGCTATAAATCTTTACAGAAGCAGAAAGCCTCATTTTTCTCCTGTGGAACAGCTAGTAGATTTGAACTGCTGACTTTGCAGTTAGCAGTCCAATGCATAACTCATTATGCTACCAAGGTTCCTTCACTTATGCCTGGCTTTGAGCTATTTATTTTTTGCCTACTGTATTTCACCAAATTCAAGAGGTTATTTTTTCACATTTTAACATGAAATCAGGTTAAGTGTAATGAACTGGAAGCATTTTCTTTTTTGGTGGTAATTGTGTGCCTTACAGTTAGTTCTGACTCATGGCAGCTTTTTATAGGGTTTCCAGGCTGTAAATCTTTATGGGAGCAGAAAGCCTCATCTTTCTCCCACAGAACAAATGGTGGATTTGAACTGCTGACATTGTGATTAGCAGCCCGACACGTAACCCACTATGCCATCAGAGCTCCGTATTTTCTTTCTTAGAGGTTAATATCTTAAAACCAAATCAACCAAACAAAAAACCCCACTGTCATTGAGTAGATTCCAACTCTTAACAACTATTTGTTGTTAAGTGCCAACGAGTTGGTTCCGACCCATAGTGATCCTGTATTGAGTTTCCAAGGAGCAGCTGCTGAGCTTGAACCGCTGACTGCAGTTCAAACCAATGTTGCAATCTAGCACATTAACCCACAGTGCCACATCAGGACTCCTAATAACCCTGTAAGGCAAAGTAAACTGCTCCTTATGGTTTCTGTGACTACAAATTTTATGGGAGCAGGCAGCCTCATCTTTCTCCTGTGGAGTGGCTGATGGGTTTGAGCTTCCAACTTGCACTTAACAGTCCAATGTTTTACCCATCGGGGCTCCTAAATAGTATCTTGGTGGTAGTGGTGTGTCAATGCAAGTTAGTTCCAACTTGCAGTGACCATGTGTAGGATTCCTGAGGCTGTAAATCTTTATGGGAGCAGACAGACTCATCTGACTGGTAATTCGAACTGCTGACCTTCCAGTTAGCAGCCCTGCTCATAATCCACTATGCTATCAGGGCTCCTTTAATACAATCTTTATTGTTGTCAAGTGCCATCAAGTTGGTTTCGACTCATAGCATCCTGTGTAGGGTTTCTGAGGAGTGGCTAGTGGGTTTGAATTGCTGACCTTGCAATTCAAACTAACCTTGGGTTCCAGCACATTATCCTGCAGCATCACACCAGAACTCCGTAATAGCCTCTTAGAGCTGATGAAATAAATGATTGTATTTAATTGTTAACAGATCTGAGGTGCTAAAACTTCATTTCAAATATTGTTATTAAGTGCTGTTGAGTTGGTTGCTGCTGACCCATATGAACCCAGTATAGGGTTTCCAAGGAGCGACTGGTGAGTTTGAACTGCCAATCTTGTTCAAACTGACCTTGCAGTCCTGCACTTATCACACAGTACTACACCAGACTCATTTCAAATATTGAAGTTAAATTCTGAATAACTTGTGAAAAATTTGTAAGTGAAACTGATTACCCACCTAGAACATCCTGACATTATCTTAGAACTGCATTCTGTATCTGAGCATCTATAAGATTTTAGAGCAGATATCACATGCAACACTGTATTTGTATATATGTTACCATTCTTCCTAGTAGAGGATATGCCCTTTGGTAAACTTAAAATTCTTTTTGTATTTTTTTTTAAAGTTTTTATTGTGAATTGAGTGAAAGTTTACAGGGCAGATCATCAGTTTTACATTCAATATCTCTTCATATTTTGTATTTTGTGGTGCCACCTACATGGCAGAACACCTGAGAACCTACTTTGTACCAGTATGGGCACAATGGCTACACAGATTCAGTCATACACACTAGCAGCCTGATATGTGAGGACATAATCATTACAAATTGTGTGGCCTATCATAACTATAAATACCAACTGCAAGGGATGAAAGAGGAATGAATATCTTAATTCCACCTGGAAAAATTGAGAAAAGTAACACTGGAATCGGATTTGAAGGATAGGTAGGAATTTGGCCTATGGAGCAAGATGAAACAGAAGAACATTCTGAGCCACCAGAATAAGCAGAGATATAAAGAAGCAAAGCATAAGTGGTATGCCAGTTACATTTTAATATACATTGGTACAAGGGTGGGATGGGAAGGAGGAAGATAGGACTAGGAATAAAGGTAAATTAGGATCAGACATGAAGGTCCTTGTATGTGATTTGATTGTATAGTCAGTGATAAGGCATTGAAGATTTCAGAAAGACTCAGCAACAATATGACAGATGGACTCTTAGATAAGGTGGTAGACACTGTATGTTATACTCAACACCTAATGCCCCTTGTTCCTTGCCTTCCTCACTCTAGAAAGAAATGTAATCTTCCTTAAGCTATTAGTGACTATGTGATAAGTTATGATTGATATAGAAGTCTTCTGAGGGTGTTCTCAGTTCGTACTTTTCTGATAGTCAAGAATCATCCATGCACCTTTCCCCCTACCCCTTCTTTCTACCTTGAATATGTGTGCTCTCTCTGGAGGTACAACAGCCATCTTGTAACCATGAAGTGACATATTAACATGCTAAAGACAGCAGAGTGAAAAGAGAGAAAAAGGTTCCTGATGGTTGCAATGAATCAGGCTTTAGTCTACTATTTGTTTAAGGAATTGGAAACCATTTTTTGGTTACTTTTGAGCCAGAACATATTCTCAAAAGACAGAGAACAGAACAGATTATACAGTAGCAAGACAGTCAGCCAGGCAGATTAGCCAGGAAAGTGATGATGAAGACTTGAAAATGAGCAATGACAAGGATCTAGACGGTATAATAAATTTGAGAAACATAGAAATGGAGAGTAGTAAAGATAATTTAGTTTTAGGCATATTAATATATATATATATATATCAGATATTAGAAACTCTGGGGAAATAAGAAAACTGGAAATATAAATAATGACATAAAAATGGTGGCTGAAGCCAATGGAGTGTGTTGAGCAAAAATGAGAGAATAAGTAGAATGAGAAAAGAGGACCAGGGGTGCAATATATAAGCAGCCTCAGCATTTAGAGAGAGAAGCAAGACAAGAAGAGTGAAGAACGACAAAAGAAACAGGAATGACAGTGCAAAGGGAGGAGTGTTTCAAGGAAGGAGTAGTCAAAAGTCAATAATTACTGAAAATCCAAGTTATGCATAGGGACCAGGGTGTCTCAAGTAAAAGAAGAAATCAAAGTGGAAAAGAAAGTGACAATTACTCCCCCACCCTCCATTGTTTAAATGATTTATCTTTTCCTTTTGAAAATTTTTATTGTGATTAGAATGGTCTTCAGAGCAGATCATCAGTTTTACATTCAACAAAGTATGTAATTTGTGGTTATTTCCATTCCTACCTCCTTCCTAACCTTCTGAACTTTGGCCTTAGGTAAATGTTGACCTTTTGCTCTTGAACGGCTGGCCAGTCCATGGTGAGCATATATTACTACTGTTGTCCCCCAAATACCTATTTACTGCTTAGCTGAAAATTGGGCCACAAAGGTGAGTTCCTTTCCAGACCTGAAGAATGACTGAGGGTCATAGTCTTGGGTTCCTTTAGTCTCTTCTGATCAGATTTTTAAAAATGTTTTATTGTGAATTATGTGATAGTTTACATGGGAGAACATTAGTTTTACATTCATCCTATTGTATATCGTTTCATTGCTATGGTTACAATCCCCTCCATGCATCATCAACCAACCAAAGGTTATACACTACAAGCCTGCCCCCCGGTCGTCAACACGCAGCCCCTCTCCCTCTCTGTGTCTAAAGTCCCCAACTGCTCCATCTCTCCATCTCTGCCTCCATCTCAGGCATCACTGCTTCTCTGGGAAGGGTTCCACGCTCCGCTCTTCTCCCTTGATGGTTTTGCTCCACAATGTTTTTCCCACTCTATCCATTGCAGAGCAGTGGGTAGTAGTATCCAGGAATCATCTAGTTCTTTTGGTCTCAGTGTTGTAGAGACTGATGTTCACATGTTCCATTAGTCCGCTGGACTAATTGATTTACACCATCTCTAATTTTCATCACTCTTCTTTCTTTTGTACAAGGAGAAACCAACAGATGCACCTTAGATGGTCGCTCATGAGCTTTTAAGATTCTAATAGCTACTCACTATAATAGGATGTAGAAAACCAAATGGAAAGAATACGTTCAGCATTTCTCAAGCTGAAAGAACTGGAGGAAAAATATTGAAATATTGAAGGATTCTATGGGCAAAATGGAGTCCTAGTGTGGTGCTGTAGGATAAGCAAGGTCGGCTTGAATAACAAGGTTGGCGGTTCAAACTCACCAGTCACTCCTACACAGGGTCACTATGAGTCAGAACCAACTCCATGGAACTTAACAACCACATGGGCAAAATATCAAATGATTCAGAAAGCATCAAGTGAAGATGGAAGGAATACACAGAATCGATGTACCAAAAAGAAATGGTTAATGTTCAGCCATTTCAACATGCAGCATATGATCAAGACTCAATGTTAGAAAGAAATCCAACTGTAATGAAAGCATTGGTGAAAAACAAGACTCCAGGAATTGACATAATACTAACTGAAATGTTTCAACAAACAGATGAAGTTCTGAAGGCCCACACTTGTCTTAGCCAAGAATTTTGAAAAACAATCACCTAGCCAACTGATTCGAAGAGATCCATATTTGTGCCTGTTCCAAAGAAAAATGACCCAACGGAATGTGGAAATCACAGG